GCGGGTCAGCTCTGGGCCCTCTTGTGTTTCCTTCAGGTGCTGAAAGCGTGTGAGAAGCAGCGTGGGGAGGAGAGCAGCCCTGGCAAGGTGGGTGTTGCTGGAGGGAGTGCAGCCTTGGGAACCGCTCCGTGTTGCAGTGGGCCATGCCCCGGTGTGCCGTGCGGGAGCCCCCCTGGGCTTTGGGGTCAGGATTGTGCCTGGGGGATTTACCTGCCTGGGTTTGCCCCTGGATGTCCCCAATACTGGGGTGCCTCCCTTGCCTCGAAGGCAATCCCTGAAGGCCTTGGGGGCCCTCGGGGGTTGGCTTAGCCCCAGTGTGTCTCTCCTGCAGGGCTCCAAGCGGAAGCGGGTGGCGAAGCCACAGGGAGCAAACGGCACCCGCCCTGGGACGCAACTCTCCCTCCACGCCTTCCTCCGGGCCCCCACCTCCTCGTGATGGCACCTTCAACATCTGAGACACCAGAGACCTGCACTGCGCTGAGTCCTGCCCATGGCGTCGGGATGGTGTCCCCCGCACTGCTGTGCGCCCACAGCCCTGTAATGGTCTCCCGCTCCTCCTTGCAGAGTCCCCCAGTTTCCCTACCTCTCCCGTGGGAGTTGAGCCTTGATGGGGCCAGCGTGGTCTTGAATGTGACACCAGGCTTGCCCTCTCTGCTCGGCTGGAGCCCATCTGGCGTTATTTGGTCTGGTTCAGCCACCGCTCCGGCACTGTGGACTCGCAGCAGCAGAGGTTTCTCTCCGGCAGCAGGAAGGCTGTGGCTGCATCGCTCCTCGGCCACCAGAGAGTGACTGGGGATGCTGCTGTACCCTTCCCAGCCTCCGATAGCCCTTTTTATACACTTGTTTTTACGTAACCTGAGCCACAGGCTTTCTAATAATAAATTTCCTAAAGTGTGTGGGTTTTTTAAGTGGTGTTCTGCCTCCGTTGCGCTGTGCTGAGCTGGGGCTGTCAGGCAGCCTGAGGCTGCAGATGAGGGTGGCTGTCAGGACGTGAATGTCCGGGCTGGGGACAGCAGTGATTTCTTGGTTAATTCACCTGGGAGCCCCTTGGCTGAGCATTAACTGCCTGTGACCCCGAATAAGGCACCCAGAGCACCTCTCCTAGGAGTGCAAGACATCAGCTCCTGCCTGTGGGCTGCTCCTCTGTCGGGCCAAGCAATTGTCGTGTGGGGTTTTTGTAGGGTTTTATCCCCCTTTTTTGCCTTTTCCATCAGGCTGTTCCCTGCTGTGTTCACATTGTGCCTTTCCCTGACTGTGATGCACAGTAGCACCCTTGCAAAGGCACGAGCCCGAGAGGCTCTTCCCAGGGGCTGCCAAGGGTTTTCCTCCTCCCCAGGCTTGTTTCCCCACCGGGGGCTGTCAGGGACAGGGGCCAGTCCTGGGGGGGGTGTACAAGGGGCAAGTGGCCTCAGTTTAGGGACTGCAGGATGGGACATCCTGCCTCGAGGGCTGGAAAGGGCCTTTTCATCCTCACCTGGCACTCGGCAGATCTTAACTGGGAGGAAAAAAACCAAACACTAAAGCCGTGCCTGCAGGTTAATTCTTTAATTGAGAGGAGCAAGAGGCCATCGCTTGTCCTGCACAGGGGGTGGCCATGCTCTGAGTGGTAACTGTTGATGAGCCGCCATGTCCATGGCCCCTGGTGTACCCACTCCGCTCTGGCAGCCCCCTCATCCCCCTACATCTGGGGCTGGTGTTGTGCCAGCAATGTCCTTGGCCACGCTGCAGGCACAAGTCCCATTAAATTAAGATGAAATTAAGGCAGAAAGTTCTTCATGTGAGGTCACTGGGAACCCAGGGAGGGGGAGAAATCACCCTTCATCCCAGGGGATGCTCAAACCCCCGCTGGACCTGGCTCCAACCAACCTGCTGTCACGCTGAGTGGGCTCTGGCTTAACCTGGAGACCTCCTTTGGTCCCTCCCCACCTACGTTGTGCTGCAGGCACCTGCTGGTATCGCTACAGCAGTGTATTACCCCAGGGTTGGACCAGAGAGGACGGGGAGCTGAGGGAGGAGGATTGCAGTGTTGCCACTACTGCTGCTGGTCCATATAGACCTGCACAGCTTTCCATAGTGCCCGTATATTGCCTTCCCCAAAGCCTGGCGCTCCCCGTCGGTCAATGAGCTCCAGGAAGAAGGTCTCCTCGGAGAAGATGGGATGGGTGAAGATCTGCATCAAATACTCCTGGGAACGGCTCTCTGTGGCATCAGCACCTGGCTGACCCTTGTCCCCAGGTGCCATGGTGTCCAGCAGGATGCCCAACTCCGCCAGCATGTGGGGGTCCTGCCCGGCCCCCCGGATCTCCTCCGCTTTGCCCCCCTGGCTGTAATAAGTGGTGGGGGGTGTGAAGAACCGTGCACCCCGCTGCTGCAAAGCCCTGGTCGTGGTGACGATATCGGTGGTGCGGAGGCCGACGTGCTGGATCCCAGCCCCACCATGCTGCTCCAGAAAGGTGTCAACTTGGTTGGCGCCATCCTCCGAGAGGGACTCAGCGAGGACGAGCTTGCAGCCGTGTGCCGGGGCGCCCTGGGTGCTCTGCAGTGCAAGGAGCAGCATGCCCACCCCCTGTCCACCGAGCACGTACCCCTCAGCCGGCCTCTCCTGGGGGTTCAGCA